TAAAGGTAAGTAAATGTTTTATAAAACTAATGTAATTTTTAATGCAGTCAAGAGAACTGGGGCCTGAATAGACTACAACAGCCTCACTGAAAATTAGCCAATACTTTCAAGGTTACAAATGCAGAAACTAAACAGTGTCAGGAGAGAAGGCATGTGTTACACTGGTTTTTCCCTTATGAAAACAGAAAGCAAATGCCTCTTAAAAAATAGTATGCCAAATTCACCCATGAAATTACCTAACTGGCTCTGGCCAGGTAGGGTGGAGACCTGGATTCTGACAATTGCTTCTGTGAAACCAAGGGAGATATTCTTAACTTTGTACAATGTGTTTACTGCTCAGCAAAGCCAAACATGGACTCTAGACTCGTTAGGCCTTTTTCTAGCTAGAATGTGTTAATATTCTACTATACTTTTTCCTTCTTGTGACACCCCATTCAGGGAAGAAGTCTGGGAAAGTAGCTTAGTGGTAAGTGCTTGCAATGCATCCATGAGGCCTTGGATTCAATTCCTCAGCACCACATAAGCAGAAAACCCGGAAGTGGCACTGTGGCTCAAGTGGTAGAGTGCTAGCCTTAAGCTGAAGAGCTGAGGGACAGCGCCCAGGCCGAGTTCAGTCCCATGACCAACGAATAAAAATTAAAAAAAAAAAAAAAGAACAGGGAAGAAATAAGGTATACAAAAGAGAAAATCTGTAATGGACAGTGGTGAAAGCCACCAACACAACTGCTATCAGCCTATGGAACTAGTCAATGTAGATGATGAATAGCACAAAGAAGACAACCTCACCCTAATTCAAGAAAATCTTCCCTTACAAGGTTGCTCCAGCTTGTAAATATTTAGAAATACGTGTTGTTCTATAAACATCAAATAAAATTACTATATACTCTTATTTACCAAGAAATGAATAGCCTTGAACATTTTAGATCAAGAATGAAAGGAGAGAAAGAAAACCACAAAGTTCATAGGAACTGTGTTTCTGAGGAATGAGTTCCTGAGGTAGGAAAGACTCAGTTGCTGGCTAGTCATAAATTATTTTCCTCTTTCACAATTCTAAGAACATTCCTGTCTGTTACAAAGACACCAGGAAGAATTGAAAATGCTTATCATCCTGGCAGAAAAGAGATAAAAATCCTTTATGTGCCCAACTGTGGCCTAAGAAAAGCAAGTTCTAGTAAATTTGTTGTCTGCAAAGGACGAAATGGTCACCCTTTCATCAGTCAAGCCATGGTCTTCTCTACTGTCACCAAATGGTAGGGCACCAAGAGTTTGCATGTTATACAAAGAGATAATTCTTCCTCTTCTCAGCAAATAATGCAGAGATGGTACTTATCCCTATTCCTTATGTCATATTATTTATCTTTGATTCATATTTTCAAAGATTAGGAAAAGTTATTTGCATTCTATCCTATGCTCCAGAATTTATTTTATAATGGTGAGACTTTTATAAGCTTGCATGTATAATATATTAAATACTCTATAACGTTACTTTTACATGGAAACTGAGAGAACTTGCTTTTTCCTATTTATTTATTTATGCATTTATATATGCAAAAATATTTATTTATTTATTTACATAAATATTTATTTATTTACTAGTCCAGGGGCCTGGGTGCAGTCCCTGAGCTTTTGTGCACAAGTCTAGCACTCTATCGCTGAACCACAACTCTAGTTCTGGCTTTTTGGTAGTTAACTAGAGATAAGAGTCTCATAGACTTTTCTGCCCCAGCTGCCTTTGAACCAAGATCCTCAGATCTCAACCTCCTGGAGTAGCTAGGATTCTAAGAGTGGGCTACCATTGCCCAGTAAGAGCTTGCTTTCGACATTTGAAAAGATAATTGAGATCTGTTCACATCAAGTTGAAGATAACCTTAGTTCAACTTCACTTTCACTGGGGGAAAAAAAAGTAGATCTCAAAGACAGCTGTGTCTTCACATGGCACAAAGCAGATGGGCAAGAGAGAGCAACCCAACTCCCAATAGCCCTTTTCATGAGTCCATTTAAAGCTCATGAGCTAAATACCTCTCTAGAAGCTCTACCTTCCAGGCCCACTGAAGTGTTTTCAACAAATAAATTTGTGAGCCACACATTCAACACCCTCTAAATGCCAACCAGAGTGAATTTAAATAGCATCTATGCGTAGCATTAGAAAATCAGTATTCAAAGCACACAATGGAATTCCTGTGCTACTCTTGATGATATTCAAACAAAAATACAATATCTTCATTGCCAAATCACTCGACAGTCAACCATATATTTAACATATAAAACAGAACATGTGTCTTACTGTAATTTTGACCAAAGGTTATTCACTTGAACAGTCTTAATGAACAATCTTCAGATAATTTCCTTTTTTTTAATTTTTTTTTTTTACAAAAAATAGTTACATCACTGGTGAAACTAAAGATTTCAAGACCTTTTAATTGACTTTGATCATTTTGAAACTCAGGCTCAGATACAGGACAGAATATTTTGCAGACAGCCCAGTAGTGTTTGGGTACTCTCAAAAGGAAAAGTCCAGGATATTTGATTTGTTTTATAATTTAGTAACAAAACATATCAAAATATCTTACATTCACACATACAAATAAAGCTGCAAATTATCCCCATTATATTTAATTCCATTATGATTTAAAGAAATATTAAACAAAATTTAAAATCAACAATTGAAGTGCCTTCAACTTCATTTGACTCACAGGTTCTATTAAGAATCTTACTGCAAATTCATCTGGAATGGAGGTACAACTCTGAACTATTTGTGGATCTACCTAGGATGTATCTCAACTCAGAAAAGATCAGGAAAGAAAATGAACTCCTTATCGAAAAATGTTTTCAGATTATTGGACAATTCAGTTCAGAATGAACATTAAGAAGATACTACAACTAAATGAAAGATACACATTTCCTAATATTTGAGTAATATATTTTGTAGGAATAATACTCAATATATCTATCAGAAGCTATTATTTTAAATGCACAACAAGCTGTAGGCTGGTGGCTCACGCTTGTAATCCTAGCTACTCAGGAGGCTGAGATCTGAGGATCACGGCTCAAAGCCAGCCCAGGCAGGAAAGTCCATGAGACTTTTATCTCCAATAAACCAGAAAACAGGAAGTGGCGCTGTGGCTCAAGTGGTAGAGTGTTAGCCTTGAGCTGAGAGCTGAGGATAGCACCTAGGCCCAGAATTCAAGCTCTATGATCGACCAAAAAAATTGTTTTAAATTAAATCTGTACATACATTTCTGATATATGCTAATAATTCTGGATATAATTGTTTTATATACATAGGTATAAGTAGGAGATAGAGCTGTCTTTACCCAGTATAGCATATCACCAGAAGTGTAAGATGCATAAAATTGCTCAGAAAAATGAGAAAATAAAAATGGCAAGTAAAGAGGAAATATATCTATGTATCTATGTAATACTTTGCTTTATTTCAGTCCATGAACACAGATGTGTAACGGGACATGTCAGTCACTATATTAGCAAGCAATCACATATCTTTCATACAAATCTATCATCACGTATGCAATTCTGACAACCTACATATTTCTCACATGCTTTGCCCAGGAAAAACTACTAGAGATAATTAAGATATATTGCAATTGAGCATGCTATCATTTGGTTCATAACACACAAATTATTCTCAGAATTATGATAAGTAAGTCTTTTATTTTCTGGTTTTAATTATTTCTTTCCTTTTTTACATGGATGAACTTTAAATATATGTATACATGTGTGTATATTGTACCCATATGTATACATATTTATATGTATACATATATGTATATATAGACACAGCCATATAACTGAACAGTTTATGAACACAATGCATTTCGATCAGTGTCACCTCTTTTAGGGTTTTTCTTTCGTAAAAATTATTAGATGAATTTTAAAAATATTTTATATATTTTAAAAAGATTTAAGGAACATACGGGAATAAAAAAAAGATTTTTTAAAACAGTGCTGTGAAGATTAAGGAAAGAAATAGAAATATCAAGAGTATGAAATACTTTAGGGACCATGATATACGTCTGTAGATGACTACTCACATGTGTCAGGTTTTTAAAGTGTGATTGTATTTTTAACTACTTGAATTGAATGGGAAACTGGGCCGTTTCTTTGTGTTACACTATATTTCATGAGAACACAATGTCGTAATTATCAGATATATATCTTCCTTATTACCAAGTACATTTAAAAATAGACTTGATCCCAATTTTTATTTATAAAGGAAATAAATAGTTCATAAGAGTTCTGACTTCTGGAAATTATGGCCATACCTAAGCATTGCCCCATTTTCTATTTTTCTTTCTTTAAGAAAGAAATGTTGTCACTCATCAAGAGGGAACTTTGTATTTTTTTTCCAAACAACAAGCTGAAATGTGGATGCCTAGGGAGGCCAGTGTCAACAAACTAGTCCCTTCAAAGGACAAAGGTACCTGGTGAATTGGGATCTGTAAAAGAAACCACACCACCTCAACTAAGAAGTTCCCCAGCCTGTGCTCTCTCTACCCTTCAATGTGTAGTGATATTAATCACAGGCATAATTAGCTTGTAAAGCCCAGAGATAGCAACACTTTCTTACAAGTATAAATTTCACAGCTAGAGCTCCCCCAAAAAGTCAATATTAAAGCAACAATGGAAAACGTCCAACATGGGAAATCCACGGACAGCTGATTGCACCATCTCCCCAGCATTACTTTGGAGGGCAAAAGGTTTAAGTCTACTTTCTGCCACATTTGTGATTCTGTTGGTTGGGTTATTTTTTTAAGACAAGCTGTTTTTTCTAGATCAACAATTCCAACCTCTTTTCCACTCCTCAGAGAACACCTAAAAATAGTGGCAGGGCACATGCACGTGAATGTATGTACCCACGCAGAAACACAGATGTGTTCGCTCTCTCTCTCACACACACACACACACACACACTCACACACACAGAATTAACATCAGTGCTTTAATTTCTGATTGTGAACATTTCAGAGACTGTTGGTGCTTACCTTGTAAAGATGTGTTAGGTGAACTGGCTTCATTCTCTCCCATCTTATTATTTCTTTGTAAACGAAGCCCAGCAGTGTCGGGTTGTGTCATTTACCCTGCAAGCTTTGTGACCTTCTGACTTTCTACTGTAGTACTGAAACAGTACACTGCCTGCTCTCTTCTGTGAATAATTACCATTCTGCTTCCTGAGTTACCTGGGCTGCAGGACCTGTTTTACTATGAAGTGAGATCACATCCTTGGATCCAGTGTCCTGCTCTTAATGTGAGCCTCCACAATATGGCTTTGTTTCAGTTTTGATATTAACTTTTAACTCTGTACTTTTTCACTTCAGTCCAGAAACACTATTTGCATGTTTCTATGAAACAAATTCTGTGTTAACAACGTGCCATGGTTCAGAGCCAGGGTTCTTTTTACTATTTTTATTTCAATTTTTTGTTCTCAATCTACTTTTCTTAAAGAAATAAATTAAAATTGAATAAATTATGCAGGATCCATGATTGTTTTTTTAATATAGGAAAGGAGGAACAGCCAGAGAGTCTGTTGTGTGCAGTGGTATAAAGACAGACATTTGAGTGTCTATTTATTTCTCTGTAACTATAAAAGATGCATTGTATTCATAAACTGACATGTTAAATTGGAACTACTTTGTACAAACTACTGAAAGATTATAAGAGAATAAACTCTAAAGAAGGAATAGAACATTCTTGAGATTCCATTTTTAAGCTAAAAGGTAGAATAATATATATTGCAGAAGATTAACATGGAAAACAAAACCAATAATGTATAACTGTGCTAAATATTGTGAATAATAGATATTAAACATAAAATTGAGATGTTTGTGCTTCCTCCTCTTCCTTTTCCTCTTTCTCTTCCTCTTCCTTTTCTTTTTCTAGTAAGTAAAGGGACTGGAGCACTGATGTGGCTGAAAAATTTCTGATATCCGTGATACTATTTTTTTTTTTTTGGGTCCGGTCGTGGGGCCTGAACTCTGGGACACCTCAGCTCTTCAGCTCAAGGCTAGCACTCTACAACTTGAGCCACAGTGCCACTTCCAGCTTTTTTCTTTTTGCTTATGTGGTGCTGAGGAATCAAACCCAGGGCCTCGAGCATGCAAGGCAAGCACTCTACCACTGAGCCACCTTCCCAGCCCCCGTCATACTACCTATTAACTAAAAGATCCTCTCCTCTCCTTTCTTTCCTCTCCTCTCCCCTACTTTCCCTGTTCTTCCACTCCCCTCCTGACCTCCTCATATGAAGCTCATGGTCTTCCTGCCTCTGTCTTCAAGTATTTGAAATACCAGCAGGTAACTACTTCCTCTGTAACTGGAAGATGTCAAAAGAATTACTCAGCCCAATCTTGAAGGCCATAAATATTTTATTTGTAGACTAGAATACTGATATTTCATTGTGTTTTGACAATAGGAAACTTATAAATGTTTGCTTTGATTAACTTGTTTCTGAAACAAAATATTCTCTAGCAAGATGAACTGTGAGTTAAAGATATGTAAGAAAGAGCTCACAAAACGATGGTGATTGCTGTGTTTGTGACCCATTAGATACCTGTAATTAAAGAGAATCTCCACTTTCTTCCTCTAGAATTCCTTACCTTTTGGTTTTGGTTGTGCAAATGGAAAAGAAAACAAAAGCACACACAGATATACACACCTATGTGTATATGTGCCACGTGCACATATGCTTATATATGGAATGAATACGCACATTCATACGCACAAATATTCTTAGAACCATATGCACACTTATGCATACAGACATCTATACATATCCCCACAAAATATTATGTATCTATATATCTCAACTCAAAATTTTTCCTTTTTCTTTTTTCGTTTTTAAATAATCTGTACACCAAATATGCTAGTTAATGGAAACCATTGATAACATTAATTATGTAGGCAACAGAATTGGTAAGCGGGTAGAATGACTATTATCCAAAGTGCCTAAAATTAGAACAAATGCAAAATTATCCAATACTTAGTACGTATCCGCTCATGCTTATAATACTAGCGCTTGGAGACTGAAGCAAGAATATTGCCTATTTCAGACCAGCATGGCACTACAAATCAACACAAAGCCAGCCTGAGTTACAAAGGGAGATTCTGTCCCACAAAAGAAAAAGAAATTTACAATTTAGAATTTTCTTTTTCATTTACTGCCTCTCTGATTTTCAGTTTTCTCATGTGTAATATGGAAACTGGAGCCCATATTACCAAGAATCACTTCATATTACATCCACAGGAACTTCTGAATTATAATCCAGCTTGACATCCTTTCTAGATTATAACACTGCTTTGCTTAGTACAATGCCACATGTGAACATCTATACCATGCAACATACTTTACCAAAAGTACCTGAAACAGAATGCTTGCCAATAAAACACTACAATATCATTTTGATATTGCTCCTCTAAAAGAGGAGCAAATGCTTGTCAATTCTCATTATGTCAGACTTGGAAATGTATTTACATACTTTCAGCAGGCACCTAAAATTAGTCACTAACTATAACAAAATACCATTATCTACTGGCAGAATTGTGAATTATGGCGTGTTGAAAGTTCTAATGGCAATAGAGTACGGAAGTTGTATTCTTGAGCCAAGGGAAAAAAAGCATAAGACATAAACACCAGAAACCAGAAGAGTTTCTCTAGATGCCCAGAAAAGAACATAAATATACATTCAGTTATACTAAAACCACTTGCAATGTTCTTAAACTACCAGGCACATGTGCTTTTCTATTCTCTCTTCCATTTATACATGCTTCATTTGTGTATGCTTAAAAAGTTTCTTGCAGAAAAGAAATTTGAACCATACCCAGATAGAATTTATACATGCCTTGATAGTTTATTCACCTCCCTTTTGCTTAACTTTTATACAATATTTTCTCTGGAGCCCTGTCTGGATTAAGGCCCGTATCACTGCTTTTAGATATCCTTAATAATGTTAAGCCTTAGCCAGGCACCAGTGGCTCATGCCTGTAATCCTACTTACTCGGAAGGCTGAGATCTGAGGATTGTGTTTTGAAGCCAGCCCCTTGCAGAAAAGTCAGTGAGACTCTTATTTCCAATTAATCACAGAAAAAGCAGGAAGTGGTGCTGTGGCTCAAATGGTATAGTGGTTCCCTAGAGCAAAGGAACTCAGGAATAGTGTTGAGGCCCAGAGTTCAAGCCCAAGACTGGCAAAAAAATACGTAATTATAAAATAATAATAATAGTAGTAGTAGTAATTCTAAGCCTTTCTTCATATCATATTCTCATCATGTTTTAAGTATTGCCTAATTACTTTTGTCCCTATCACCAGTATCCTGCAGTGCCTAGTACATATTATGCCTTCACTACATATTGTAAAAATGAATATAAAGAAGGGAACAAAGGGATTTAAAAGAAGGAAAGATTGAAGCTATTCCAAAAGAAAAAAAAAATAAAATTTGAAAGTGAAAAGATAAAAGTTTCTAGATTTAGTCATCCGAGAAAGACCTAAGAACAAGGATATAAGAATGAGAATAATTACAAGAATTCTAAAAGTGTTAAAACAAAATAAGTGAAAGAGAAAAAAGTAATATTTTATGTGCACACATACACATACAACAAAAAGCATGGGCCAGAATAGCTTCACTAGATGGTGAAAAGGAGAATGATATAATTTTAAAGTTATCAAGAAAAAAATCTGAATCTTCAAAGGGCCAGAGAGAATCTATGTGGCTTAGTTTGGTTCTTGAATGGTTTACATAAAAATTACTGAAGGTGTTTTTAAACAACACAAATAGCATCATGGAAAACAATATATATGGTCACCATCTAATCCTAAAGAGCCCACAAAGAAAGTATAATAAATACTATCATTTATCTTCCAAGTTGAAGGTTCTGCCTAGAAACGATCCAAGAAGAAAACAGCTATTGTAAGTTAAGCTGGAGTGAAGGCTGTTATTGAAGTGATCATTCTTATTTAGTTCTGATTTTCAAGAAGATAAGTAGGAACATTTGAGAAGCACTGTAAAACAGGTCATCACAGGTCTGAACATGGACATCTCATGTTAATGGAACATGGGAGTCTATGTATAAAATGTCAAATATGTCTAATAATACACATCTGCAACTTGTATTCTCAATAAAAGCCTAAAACATGGGAACAAGGACTTGAATAAAACCCTAGCTTTAAACCATGAATGTCATGGAAAGAAAGATGGGAAAGGATTGTGGGAAGGAAAGAATAGAACTCTAACTGTAAACTTCTCCACTTCCTTACAGTGGAAGTCAAATCTGTACAGATTTCTGCCAAAACTCCAATGAGCTGGAGGGCAAATTCATGCTCAGCTACCTAGCAGGTTGAAGAGATTACAGTTGCCAAGATTAGAGAGAGGGCCAGGCTTTCCTTTGCAGTAAGTGCTCTCCTGGTACTTCCTGTATTTTAGAGTAAGACAGACAGCTCGGGCAATTTTAGTCATTCCAACAATCCCAGTGTTCTCCCCATTTCCAAAGCAGTTAAACAAATGTTTGGAAAATAATTAGATTGAGTTAATATTTAAATGTTCAACATGATTTCAACAGTTTCTCAACATTTCCTTCACTTAAATCCCTAATCTCCTTGGCTCACCAAAAATGGGAAAAGCTTTCCCTTTTATTTTTAATTTTGCTTTTGAAGTAGCATACATTAATAATATGAGAGGGTTTTGCTGGGACAGTTCCATAGAGGCACTCATACAGTACATTTTTGATAAAGGTAACTCGTTGCAATGTAGTTCCATGCTCTCTTCTCTCCTCAATACTTTGTCTGAGTCTGACAAGTTGCATTATGATGTCTTATATATGTACATCCAATATCTTTCATTCCCCTGCCTTCTCCACTGACATCCCCAGGCTACCTTCTTAGGGACTTAGGTCCCATTATTATTTTTATCATCATCATCATCATCATCACCACCACCACCACCACCACTACCACTTCAGGCCTACATTCCACAGACACCTGAAAAGCTATGGTACTTGGCTCTTTGAACTTAACCTATCTCACTCACCACATTCATTTCCAATTGCTATCCAGGAACATATTTTCAAATGTTGAGAATCAGTATCAAACAATATTTCCTAAATGAAGCCTGCTTGA